TGCACATAGATGAATGTGTGAAAAACTGAACTGTAAAGCGTTTTGAACAGTCATCAGAACTAGAAAAGCGTTATATAAATACAGACCATTTACCATTTCCTAAATTTATCCTATACCTTGACTTTTATTGAAAAGACAACAAACAGATATGAGGCATGCAAGCCAATAATGATGGGAGCCCAAAGCTAATGTTGTTTTCCCCCTTCCTCCCTCTCTTAGCTGCTGTCATGTTTTCTCGTATGGCGGTGGAGGAGATCACTCTGGACCGACCCTTCCTCTTCCTCATCCAGCACAAACACACAGGTAACACTCCTTTCTCATGTTTTAACTTTAATTCTCACCAAACTGTAAACGTCAGCTGAGTGGCGTCCACCATTTCACTGTTTCCCCTTCTGTGTTCAGGTGCTGTTCTGTTCATGGGTCAGTTCAACCAGCCTCAGTAACTCTCTGAGGACTTGCCTATATGTCTGCTTACCCGCTGCATGTTGACCACCGAACCACCAGGATTTGTGTGACTGCCAATGACACTGTAGACGAATTCATTGAAAGGTTTATTTTTGAAATCCTAAATACAAGAACAACAGGACAAAGAGATTTGACATGAAAGACGTTGGAAACAGGAGTGACTGAGGTCTTCTTTGGGAAGACTTAATATGTTTGCTGTTTATTTATTTCTCTGAATGTTTGTGGTTCACATATGAAGGAAAGTAAACTAAAGAGGTAGCTTACTGTTGTTTCACACAACACACACTGATGCACTTCACATAGGGCGATGTTGGTGCAGACTGATGGCTGTATTATTACTTAAACAGATGTATTTTTCATCTATTTTTGCAATATATTGTGTTGTTCGTCTCGTATTGTTACGCTCCATTTATATTTTTGCAGTACTTATATTTATTAAAATCTTATATGTTTTTACAAAGTTGCAGTGTGTGTAGTTCTTGTGGCATTCAGGATATCTGTGGATGGTCAACACTGACCTCTTGTGTCTAAAAACAAAAAAGTTCCCCAATTTAAAACAATGTGATGTACTCTCAATGTGGCCATGATTATATTTAATGTAATTAGCTTTGAATTATACAGTACATTATCACAATTACAGATAATATTTTTTTTCGAATGGAAAAAGGAATTGACACTAGCAGTCAATTTTACTGGCATGGGTCCATACTATAGAATGATTATAAATGGTGTCCTGTGTTGGTATTATAACAGTATAATTCAGTGTAAAGAATTAATTATTTCAATGTATTCAAAGTTAACAAATTCAAATTATATCTAACTGTATGGTATGATTTATATAAAATTTTAAATGAAGAACTGATCACTCACTTTAGAAATGCAACTTCAGCCAGTGTCTTCTTTTATGTGCTTAATGTGAATAAAGTCTACTTAAGGCAATGACGATATGTATTGTTTGTCACAAGAATTTATTTACCATCTTGAGGTCTGCACTTGGAAGCAGGATCTGTGGTTCTTGAAGTAGTTTCAGGTTGAACTCAGTTTTCAGGGATATTTAAGTGGCACACTGCTTCATCATGGTAACTCTAACCTGTTTTAAAGAAGGTTAAGTTTGAGCTAAGATGTCATCAGCCAAACTGTTGACCATTCAGATCATCTCATAGTGAGAATTAATTTAAAAGAAACAGCAGATATTTTATAGATTTCCATATCCTCTTAAAAAAATTGAGAAATTCTAATGAATAGAGGTAGACATCACAAAATTAAACAAAAACCACAGACTCTGATATATTTTATTAAAGAAATTATCCACACAATAGACCCACAGACTGAATAATTTATTTCATTAACTTTTCAGTTAAATCTGCATCACAAGTTTATAATAATTTATCATCAGACAACAGAGCAAAATACTCAATAATGCACTTTGTTTACATTTCACTATGTTGGATGTCACTTTTTTCAGTCACTGTAACTGAATTTGCATGTAGTTATCAGCATTTCTTCTCATATCAATGTTCTTGCATAAGGTGAGAAGAACAATCTTTCTTCTAGAGGCTGTATTGTGGATGCCCCAATCACTTGCATTGTATGGATATACGCCGATCGCGTGTTGATCTAAAAGCGTCCAAAGGACTCCAAGTTACTCCAAACCTTTATGGGTGAGTAGATCCACATACCATATGCTGGAAATAAGGTCCAGGTTGAAAAAAAACGAACTTCTCCTTTAAATCACCGAGTCATGTGCTGGAATCCAGTGAAGTTATGTTCTATAGTCAGAGGCAGGAGTCGACTAATCAGGGGTGATTATAGAACATCATGATCGCACTTGTCACAGAAAACAACTCCTTTGTTGTATTTTAGTCAAACTGAGTTTATTCAAACCAATGTTACAAGAACTTTATTTGGACTCAATTTATTGCGATTTGGGAAGTTCTTATCCACAACAAATATAGCACACACATTAGGATAGATCCTTTGGTTACACCATTATTTCAGTAACAAATGTGTACTTATAAAGTATGATTGAAAGTAATGATTTTCTTCTATTGATTATCATGAAGAATCAATCAATATTTTTAGATCATTTTAATGAACATATTTATATTAGTTGTGATATTTCCCCATTTTCCAATTAGATCTAATATAGAAAAGTTTAGAGGGGAATTCTATGGGTGAAAATAAAATAGGACATTTAGATTCTTTTTATTGAATCATTTATTCTGAACAAACTGAAAGTATTCATATACTATAAACACATTCAAAACATATGAAAAACATGATTATATGAAAATACATAGGACAATAAATATGTATATTTCCAATCATTTGTAAATCATCAATGAAAAAAGAGCAAGTTAGAGCTGTAGATCCAAATAACAAAAACAAGAAATGTAACCACAAATATTTTGTGAGAGAGGGACCGTGCATTTTTTAGGGAGGAGGGACATTTAAAAAACATAAAGAAGAGGTTACTATTTCTAAATTTTCAGCAAAGAATATGATATTCATCCATGATGCGAATAATTCTATTAATCACGTCAGAAAGAATTTAAATCATCCATGTAAAAAAAAAATACCAGAAAAATATAAAGGATGGAATGTCGATTTTTTTATATTTGCCCAAAATCTTGTGGACTGCTCTGATGTACCATCTGACATGCTACAAAGGGCACAAGGGTGCACTTCAGACCAGACTTGAACCCTTTCTGAAGTCTTCTAAGACCGGGCAACTTGGTGGAGGTGTCACCTGAGAAGCGACGCTGAGGGGGGGGGGGGAGACGTGGCGCAGTGTGCGCATGTTCGTCAGAGGCGGAACTGCTGAGTGCAGCAGGGAGTGTGTCCTGCTCAGTTCATCTGTCAAGACATGGACCATCGTTGTTAGCTGCGGCGTGTGTGTCTCCGTCGGACCGGTCAGTACACGGCTAGAGTTCGCCTGTAGCGTCGCGGGAGCTCCGGGAGAATCTGTGGGGGGGGGGCGGAAAAAAAAATATGGTAAGTTGGCGCGACTTCATCGGTTCAGAAAGCCAGGGGCGAGCTGCTAAGCTAATGCTAGCAAGGTGTGAGGTTTCAGGAAGTGTCCACCTGCGCTTACCTTCACCTGGCTTCTCTCAGCGTAGCCTGCGAGCTAACAGGCCGTTTGACGGCAGGCGGTGAGACATCGTCCCGTCTCTCTGACTGCATCACCCCCAGTCATTCCATACAGTTACCTGAAGGCACACAGTGCTGTTTTAATGGACCAGGAGAGACCCTGTGGAGCGGTCGAGCTCCCTCGGGTTTAGCTTCAGTCTCTGTGTCAACAATGACAGTACACGGTTAGAGTTATGTCACCATATGTCGGGTGTACACCGGATCCAGAGGGTATTCAGAGCTGCTGCAGCTCATTGGTTATTGAGGAGGATGGGGTGTTAGAAAGAAGAGGAACCTACTGCCACTGCTGCTGTCCTGATATTCAGATGAAGGTTGTTACTCGCATGTGCTGTGAACTGACTGGTTATCTGTGAAAAGTGCAGTGTCTTCGGATTATTTGCGTAGGTTTGAATTCTGTTTGTGCATTTTATAATTCTGAAATGTTATTTACTTGGAAATATATACACACCACCGTAAGGAACCCTAGCATTTGCAGCTCACCATTGTCCTCTGGTACGCCTGAGGGTGGAGGGCCACCAGTGGGAATGCATTTACAATTAGAAATGGTGTTCTTGTCTTCCTGTGTAGTGATATCCACGTGAAAAGTCATCCACGCAGAGCCGACAGCTTGCTCGGTTATATATTTAGCATCTTATAGGCTACGTTGCATTTCATTTTTCTTTGTTAGTTTTGTACAATCTTGTTATCGGTTGGTATTTGTTTCAGTTGTGGCGATAAACATGCCAGGTTGGCTTTGGCCAGCATTGCTCTTAGGACAAATTGCTTTGGTTTTGTGAACTTAAAGATTTTCCTTGAAGTCCTGGTTAAGATTGTTAAATTAACAATTGACAGTTGCTAAGCTTGTGCTATTCCTCCTTCACACAGCTGTACATTGAAACAACACAAAACAATAAGTCAGAGATCTTATATATTATTATGAGATGTGTTAAACTTCAGTTCTTTAGGGATAAATAACTCTATGATGGACTGCAACAGTCCCAAGAGAGTAATAGGAAATTCTGCACACACCTTCAGTTGCACTGTGAGAGTGACACTGTCTGCTGAGACATCTAATGTGAAAGATCTCAGTAAGTGTTCCACAGATACTAATGCATTACACTTCTTTTCTTATAACATTTCTGGTGTGATCTGAAAGACTGGTGTTATTAGCCGGTAGGAAAATGTTCTTACTCTAGCATCCATAGCTTATACCCAAAACATTGCCAATGGCAGATGTTATTAGTTATCATTATCGTTATTATTAATATTATTATTTGTATCTGTTGTTCATTTGATTTATTTGAGCAGCAAAACTGAAAAGTCTAATCCACTTGACGCCTTTGGTAAGTGTGAGACAAGCTGATGTTTCAAGCGTTGCGTGAGTTGGCTCTGTGCTGTGATGCTGAGGCAGATGGAGCACAGCTCCGCCAGAGTGCTGTTATGAGGAGGTGGAGCTCAGCTCCCGTGTACTCAGGCTCAGTTTAACCCGTGACAGCACTCAGCTACACCAAGCACACAGAGATGAACATGATTCAGCCACCACCCACACGGCTGAAGCAGGCAAAACCTTTACCACTGTGCTCAAGTCACTTTCTGATACCAGCTGGCAATGTTGGCAAGAGTCTGAGCCAAGCTGCAGAGTTGTCATAAGTCATATATAAAAACTTTGCATCATCTCGTTACCACTATAATAATATACTTTAATAGTACAAAGAGCATTTGTAACTGAGCCCCAGACTTCCTGTGTGGAGAAACGTCTTGCTTTTTATTTTGGCACCCATGTTATCAGGTTAGAGCAGCCACACTGCCTGCATGTGGCACACTGCTCTTCAGAGATTCAGAGTCGTGCCTGTTTGTGGTTCACAGCAAAATAGAAAATGATCTTTCACCACAGTTTCAATGCCTATCTGTCGAATATGTAACGTACGCAATTATTTTCAACTCTTCTTGTACTGTTTCAAAATGTTATCACTCTAGTGTTTCTGTTGAATAAGATTTTTATTGTTAAGTAAGGTCTGACAAATGCAGGAGTTCATGTAGGAGTACTTGAAGTTTACTTTGTGTGAGTGTGATTAGCTCTAGAATGTGAACTCATTGAAAAATAAGTCCAACATTTTGTGCACACACAGTTAACCTGTCAATTCCGGATGTTATTCAGTTAGGGGTGGGCGATAAAACTATAACGATAATTTATGTAATATAACTTTTCCTCAATCGTCGATAAAACGTTGATAGAACTCATCCCACCCATGTTTTGACAGACAAAACGAACAGCCAATGATAATGAGAATAGCACTGCACCGAACCAGTCATGTGTCACAGCCATGTCAGGTTAGGTTGACGCACACAGCACAGCGTAGGAGGAGCAGCAGCACACTTAATGTTTGGGCTCCTGCAGAGAGGAGGACGACTCTGCATTGATGCAGTGACTGAACTTAATGATTCATGTTTTCTACTACGTTCAATGTTTAAGCAGGTTTCTACCGCTGAATAATTATAACCAGCGCTGCCTTAGTACAGATGCACATTAAAGGTCCAGTCATCCTGTGTCAGTCTCCAGTCAGAGTCTGTTATTAGGACACGTACAGGACTGAGTTTATGAGACACGTGTTTAAACCTTCTACACGACACAAGACGTAATGTGACGCGCAGTCATAACATCAGAGACAAAGTGACTGGAATGATCTGCATTCATGATCCGACATCATTGATTAATATCAGTATGGAATGTGTATGAATCCTCTCATTCTTCTCCTTGTTTTAACTGTGTCTGTCCCTGTCTGTGCGTAGATGCGTTTCATGCTGCTGTTCAGCCGGCAGGGGAAGCTGCGCCTGCAGAAGTGGTACACAGCCACAGCTGAGCGTGACAAGAAGAAGATGGTCAGAGAACTGATGCAGATAGTACTGGCCCGCAAACCAAAGATGTGTAGCTTCCTAGAATGGAGGGACCTCAAGATTGTCTATAAAAGGTAAAAACACTCAGTCATTAACTATCACACAGTTCTTCTCAGTCATGCTGGGGAGCTGGAAGTGTCCATGTCAGAGCTTCTTTTATGAGGTACTTTACCTAATAGAGTTTGTCACCTCATTGGTTGAATGTTATTAGCTTAGAGAGAGCAAAACCACACAACAGCCAAGAGTGTCATTTGATATTTGGCCAAAACTTCCAGCAGTGACTGTTCAAATCCTACTATTGTTAAAAACCTATATCAACTAGTACATACTGACAGAATGTAATTTTCCACTTTGATTCATGAATTCATTTTGACTGTGTTTTAGAAATGTCTGATGAAGGTACATGCACACTCATACAAGTGACTGCACTCCACACGTCAGCTGACACTTTTTCCAAAAATTAACAACTAGCTGCAATGGGAAAGTGTGTGTGTGTGTGTGTGTGTGTGTCCTTATATAATATAATATAAAATAGAGGCAAGTGACATAATTTCATATTATATTATCAACTTAAAACCCTGAAAACAATCACTTAGGCTTGTTACTGTTAGAACCAGTTATGAATTGATTCAGTAATAAGAGATTTTATATTTGATTCTATTAAACCATAAGATTATCTGGTTTTATTGTCTACACTGTACTTCAGTTCATCTCCCAGAGACCAGTAAAAGTTGAGAAGCTGAGGAACGCTAGATTTTACGTGGGTGGACAAGGTTAGACCCTGCATTCTGTATTCATCGATCTGACCACACACATGCACACACGCACACACACACTTAAATAAGTGAGTCAAGGCTCAGTGCTGTGAGCAGAATGCAGAGGTGGACCAACAAAACAAAGAAGCTATTGGCCTGTGTCTGAGTGCGCATGTGTGTGTGGGTGGCTAGGTGGGTGATGTGTTAAGGGAATTCCTGCAGTGGAGATGGACTGAGGGAACACTGCACTTGTATTAGAGGATCTGCTGTTCAGCAGAAATCTCCTCTTTGCCTTTTCTCACAAGCCTTGGATATCTTTTAAATTAAATTCGACAGTTAACGAGGTTATAACAAGAGTTTAGAGTTAAGCTTCAACGATAGGTCCATTATTCAATCTTCACTCAATTGTATATATATTGTATGTATACTGTATATATATATATATATTAATATTGTTGTCAATTGTGACAGTTCCACTTGTTCTGTTTAAACATTATCATATATTAAAGTAATTTTGTGCTCGAGGATATTGTGATAGGCATTTTGTTGTTTTGTCGACCAAATATTTATTTGGGTAAGTAATCTGTGCATGAATGAGAACAAATAAGTGTCCCCAGTTGCAGCCTTAAGTGAGAGTTTATATTTATCTAAACCGCTTATTTTCACAAGTTAACACTGTATAGAAGGGTCTCGGATCATACTGCCCAGATTTTCAGTTGCCATTGTGCCACTCTGGTTTTACCAGTTCATTTGAATAGGCTAGAGTGAAAGCTGTCACTCAAACTTTTGATGCACAAATCAAATACAACCATTCAGACTGTCATAGCTGTGAATCCCTAATAATCTGAGAGAAAACCTTCTGTACTTAGCGCAACAACCAGCCTAAATGTTCATTAGAGGGTGCTGTGTGATGCTGTTCTGAGGGCTTAGTCATAGGCTAATATGGCTTCAGCTTTATTAACATCTAGACACTTTATTTTTTCTTTGTATTATTATTGTAAAAAACCTGTCTGTGTATTGAAAAAATCAAATCAAATTCAATATGTTGAAATTGAATGATTATTTAAAATTGTGTATTTTGTTATCCTTAAGTGTGAGTTTCTGATTGGTTTCCATATCAGACTTCAGACAGGATCTTGTCTAACATGTTTAGTTTGTATAAAGATGAAACAGGCAGACAGAATGTCCACTCATAGTTTAGAGCATCAGGGTTGAAGTAGTTGTGGGTAGTTTTTATGTAAACATCAAAATGGGAAGTTCAGCACGGCACACTGCTTTGTGTGTCAACAAAGACGAGTTTTAAGTGATGCAGTCTGGGTAAAGCAGACATTGTCAGTTGGAGGTAAAAGCTCCCGGTCTTAACAGTTGAACAGAAGTATTTGCAAAAACCCTTAACTAGGGTTTCCTCTGAGCCAGCATCACAATTCAAAAGGGTTGTACTTCACCCTGCAAGCCTTAATGCTCAATGAAATTGTTTTGGTTTGGCAGTTCCCATTATTTGATTAATATGGTCAGAATGTGAACAGCATCAGAATTTGTAAACTGATCCCTGTCAACTGACAGATGTCATACTACGTCACACTGCACAGTGTTGTATGAAAGTTAAAAACATTGATGCCACTGAAGTGAGCGCATACATAACCTTAACCATCGTTAGTGATGTTACTTGGGGTCATTGGGTGTGTCGGGTCTTTCAACAATCAGACACCCTCCGCCAGCTCTCTTCAGGCACAGAGGGCAAGCTGGTGACTCCATCTTCCCCCAGTAGAACAAGTTGGATGGGCTTAGTAGAACGTCATAAACAGCCTGGATTAAGAATTTTATTCGATGGGGCTTGACTTTCCGGTTCACCGATTTGGACCACATGTAAAAGTGGCCCAAATTAAAATTGGAAAAGATCAGATTTATTGTGACTTGTGGTGTCCACACTGTCAGGAAAAAAACAGACCTGAGTCCCTTATGAGGGGCACTTGAGCCTGCAGTCTGAATGTAGCCTTCAGTCTCTTAATTTATCAATGGTGTGTTTTGTCTGAAACGGAAGGACATCTCTCATTCCCTTTAAAGTGTGCTTGACCATCTGTGTGTGTTCATTGTGCACCCACCTATGTAGGGTTATGTTACTGTCTTGATGAAAAGCCTTAAAGGGAGTTTAAGGGGTAAACAGTGCTTCAGCCAAATCGGATTTGAAGTAAATGGCGACCACTTCTTCCAACAGAAAAAAACCCATAAAAAGCCTCCATACTGCTCCTGTGGTATCTTCCAAATGGTAAATGGTTTAAATGGTTTGTATTTATATAGAGCTTTTCTAGTCTTGATGGCCCCTCAAAGCGCTTTACACTACAGTTTAGCCATACACACACACATTCATACAGTGCATCTATTAGCAGCACTTTTTTGTTCTATGGGGCAATTTGGGGTTCAGCATCTTGCCCAAGGACACTTGCATGCAGGTGGGAAGACTGGGTATCGAACTGCCGACCTTCTTGTTGGAGGACGAACCCTCAGCCGCAGCCTTCCAAGTGTCTGTAAGCCCCAACATTCAAATTCGACTAGAAACAGTATTGTTTACACCATCTCTTTAGCCTTACTATCTGCTGTGTTCCTCCTAGTTACTGCTACAGCAAATGCTGCTATAGCAAGTTCTTGCAAGAACAGTGAGTATTGCAAGACGAGGTTTATGTGCAATGACTCTCTGTATGCTCAAGATGGCGATGCACCTGAACACACCTGACCATGGGCGCTCCAATGGGTGCAAGTGCAATAAGGATACATGATGTGAAAATAAAAGCTGTGTCAGTTTGAAATAAAACAAAGATGCTTTGTGTAGGGTGTAAGGTAGGGTCCTGTATGTTTACATTTGTGTTTTAATAGTTGACCATGTGTTGTGTTATTCTATTGATGCACTGTTTTTGTGTGTGTTTCTTCATGCAGGTACGCCAGCTTGTATTTCTGTTGTGCAATTGAAGAGCAGGACAATGAGCTGATCACACTGGAAGTTATTCACCGCTTCGTGGAGCTGCTTGATAAATACTTTGGCAGTGTAAGTGATTAATCTCTGAATGTCTCAGTGTTGTTCCTGGTCTGTTTTAGAATATAGGACTAGATGCTGAATATACCATGTGATTATCAGTTTGTGTAGAAGAGGGACAGAGAGGAGCACACACACACACACACACTCCTGCAGACAGAAGTTCTTCCCGCAGAATGCAAAGCAACGCAGTGTTTTAACTTCATTGTTGCAGAAGAAGCAACACCCCGTTTATCCAGGAACGTAATAATGAATTTAGCTGGTTTTTATGTGATGATTAGAAAACATTCGAGGAGCAGAGTCACTTGTTGACTAGCGGAGTAATGCCCCTCAGCGGTGCTGATTTAAGTTATGATAAGATAAAACTTTATTGATCCACACACCAGGATAATTCAGTTGTTACAGCAGCAGGCAGGTCAGAATGAGGTAGACAAGAGAATATCGAAATATAAAAAGGCAATAAAATTTTAAAAAAGGAATTAAGTAAAATGTAAAAATATGATGAGTATGTACATTATATAAACCTTTTCACTGTAGTGGTTTGTATGAATTGTTATAGGTAATGTGCAGTGGCACATGCTGATTCTATGAGCCAATAAAATCTGTTTTGTGCATAAGAAAAAACGTTTGTACATAACATATTACATAGATACAAGAATAATAATAATAATAAAGCCGAAGTGGATCTGAGAGGGCCTAGTCATGATCAGACAGCACTTATCATGATGGAGTTTAAAAGTTGCTCTTGCGGTTTCTCCATAATTTTTAAGTTCTTAACCTTACAATGTGAAGTGATGATGTATGTTACGATTTGGCCCTATACAAATATAATTGAATTTACTTTATTATGCTGGATATTTCAAAGCTGATTCTAAATTAGTTCCACTGTGAGCTTTTTCAGTCTGCAGGAAGTAAGAACAGAAAACCTGGATGCATTTTACCAACTTACTCTGTAAGGAGGATTGAATATAGACTCCAGACAGGAGAAGGCTACTGTCCTTATGTGTTTCACACCTTGTAAATGTATGTTATCTTGTAGAACAATCAGCAGATTTTTTGACTCAAGAAGACTTCTTTTCATATTTCTAAATTAAGGTCATATGAGAGCATGTGAAGACTTTTCCTGCAGCCGGAAGCATGAATGGCCCGTGTTTGTTACTTTGTACAGGTGTGTGAGCTGGACATCATCTTTAACTTTGAGAAGGCTTACTTCATTCTGGATGAGTTCCTAATGGGAGGAGAGATCCAGGACACGTCTAAGAAGAGCGTCCTCAAAGCCATCGAACAAGCGGACCTGCTGCAGGAGGTATGATTGGCTTAAGGGTTTTATCCACCACCTCCATTAGGAAAGGTTTGATTTCCTGCCCTGATTCTCTCTGTTATCAATCAATCAAATTTTATTAGCATAGCCCACAAATTCCCAGTTGCCCCATAGGGCTCATCGAGGTGCAACATTACAGTTACAGCAAGTTGTCATAAAGCCTTGTTTTTTTTCTCTCTCTCTCTCTCTCTTCGGGTTTCTCGAGATTTCTTAGGAATGCTTTCAGGGAATTTCTTCAAATTCACTACCAATATTCTCTTGAGAGGATAAACTGATTAGATTTAGGACAGGAGATTGTGACTATATTTACTGCAGCAAACTGAGTGGTTGCTGGAGGCAAATAACTGTGAGGCCATAATTCTAAAACCCATCATTGATCTAATTTGCCTTTTTAGATCATCTTTTTTTCCTTAGCGGATGCATTGGAAACACAATCATTCTAATTCTCTTTCACAATTTAGTTCAATACACTGTACTTTGTATGAACTAAGTACAAAGGTGTGAAACCCAGCGTTATCATTTAGGGAACCTCTGGCCTGACTGACTCATGTTTTGAACAGGATGTGATTTAGTGACTCGTGTCTGTACCTCTGAGAGCTAGCACACTAATTATAATGTTGACCTAATGACCAAATATAATGCTAAAAATGCTAAAATGTATACATAATTTTTTCTTTTTCGTTTTAATATTGAAACTGAGTCATTCATTTCAATGTCTCTGTGTTTCCCTCTGCAGGAGGATGAGTCTCCCAGGAGTGTGTTGGAGGAAATGGGCTTGGCATAATACACACCATTGTTGTGAGAGACTATAGATACTAAGGTAGAGAGCTGGATGTTAGGGGATGCGACAGCATCTGGGATTGGACTGACTAACTGGCTCTGTGTATCTGTGGCTATGGGGACTGATGTACAATGTTGAACCAGGGAAGAGATTCAGTTAAGTGTGGAAGACCCTTACATTGCATTGACAGGCCCTAAAGCTCTGTGTGTGTGTGCGTGTGTGTGTGTGTCTGTGTGTGATGTAAGTGTAGGGTGGAGGTAATGAGTTACACCTAAACTAATATGTGGCTGTTGGGGGGGTGTTTTTATTACAAATGAGGGAAATGGAGTCTGTCTTTGCTGTAAGTAAGTAAAGATGAGAAGCCACAGTGGAAACTGATGTTTGAGTCGCTATGAAGCAGGTTTGCAGTTTGACTAAAGAGAAGCAGGTTCGAACTGTCACATCTGGTCGAGAATAATCGTGAGTTACCGATTGTGGACTGGTCCTTTGAGTTGTGAGACAGAAAAAGTGGGCATCACTAAAGTGGTGAGTTTGATGTTGCTCTACGTGTTTTCTATTTTCAACAATTCTCATGAAAGATCAAAACCAGCAGTGAGTTTGTGCAGTCCTCAACACTTCCACTTCCCTCCTCTGTCTGTGGCTCTCAGCCACAAATCCACGGATTCCTACGTAGGAGGACAATTTTAAATAACAGCTCATAGATATATTTTTCCAAAAGGTTCAGTAATTTCCATAAATGCTACAGGTGGATGCTGTAGTTTTAACAATTATTCCTAAAATAGTCCATTTTTGGGCACTACTGTATTTCCAGTGACTGATTAATTCATATTTGTGGCAACGGGACGGTGTGTGTCAGACCATGTGAAAGTAAACTACAGTGTATTTTGTCCATGATGGAGGCAAGGCAGCAGTGTGGGTCATGTGTGGTTCTTGGAGCTCTGTGTCTCTGAAGAAATGAGCTATATCACACAAGTGAACACGAACTGTTTACTATCACTTCATTATCAGTTTTGACCTGCACATGAGACTTGTTGACACTAAGAAAAATGTAGAATATCCCCAGATGTTTCAAGTAAAATTCTGTCACTACAGTCCTGTCTTCGTAACCATGATTTGCCATGATTCTTGTTGGTTATGGTTATGTATTAATGTACAAGAGAAATGACAACCTGTGCAATCTGCACGACATACAGGATAGTCATTGTTACCCATTTTCATTTGTTACAGCAGAATTAGTGTTCAAATCATTTTTCACATGAAGTTTTCTCTGTAGTCTTAAAGTGCTATATAACACTATTATTGCATTGGCTTGTCACTGCAACAGTGTCCTCTCCAAGAAAGTGCTACACCCTTGAACGACCTCCCATCTTTACGCCTTAAAAGACAGAGGGCGTTGAGCATTGAGCCAGAACCTGTCTAAAAATGGGACAGGTTGTGCAAAATTCTACACACTGTACCTTTAAGTCTGGGTCTTTTATTTTTTAGTTTTAGCCATTGTTCCTGTCAGCTACTCTAAAACTGTTTGCACAGGACAACCAAACAGATCCCAAATTTAACTATAGTAAATGTTTTTAAATTGCCAGCTTAGATTAAAACACAGTGAGTTGATATCATAAAGCCAAGTGAAGTCATTGTATCCTCAGAACTCAGCAATGCAGAGATGTAAGTGCAACATGATCATAACCGACAGGACTCAGGGCTATAACTACGACATCAGACAGAGTTTGGTTTTGTATTCTGCCTCCACTCTCCAGCTGTTACTATTTAATCTACAGGTGTTGTCAACAACATCTGTTTCATCTTATTATTA